AAACCAAATATAGAAATTCTAGAACAAAAATCGACAAAAACAACAAACTGATAATGACTTGGAATCAAATTGCAAGAAACCAAAAAATACCATCTTATTTGATAATGCTTTAAACGTCGCTCAGTTAATAACGTGTATTGCCTCCTCGAGCATTGATAACAGCTCGCATTCTTCGTGGCATACTGTTAATCAAATTTCTAACTTCTTCTTGATCCAATTTCTTGCGACTCTTGCGGCAGTCTAAGTGTTAGCTCTGGGAGGGTAGTAGGAGGGTGCTGTAATGCTTTAATTCTCTTTCACACAATAATATCCCATAACTGCTCGATGGGACTGACGTCCAGACTTAGTGCAGGCCAGTTTATAAATTTTTGAAAAGCCATGTGCAAAATAAAATTTTAAAATTTTGCGCTAATTTTGCAGGGCAGAGTATAGAACAACATTTTGGAATTTAACTTTAAAACTGCAAAACCAAATGCTCTGAGCTGTGAACGTTATAAGGTTATCGTAATAATAGTAAACCGTTAATCAAAATTTATTCGTTTATACTGTCTCAAAAAATTAATGACGTCATCTTAAAATTTTGTCAAATGAATCCAATCTAAAATGTGCAAAATATGATAAGTATACTTGCGATTTATCATTCCATTCATATTTTTTTGCTTATACAGAGTGACTCAAAAAATTAATGCATGTAAATTAGAAATTGCAAAACCGAATGTTTTGAAAACTTCCAAGTGCTTTAAGTATCGGTAATCGTTAGCATGGTAAATCTATAATCAAACTGAATCTGTTTGTCCTCTACAAAACATTAATCATCTCAAAATTTTGCCGAACAATAACAATAATAATAATCGAGAATGTGCAAAATATGATGAATTTATAGTTGTAATTTATCATTGTATTTACATTTTTTTAGAATTACAAAAAAATTAGTGAATGAATCGTATTTTATTGTTTAAAATTTGGGAACACAATACTGTTGTTATTAGTACACTATACCTATCCAAACTGATATACATGTCCTTGTAAAAATGTTGATAAGGTCGTCACAAAATTTTGTAAAGGAAAAACTTATTTGAAACATGTCGTAGCACGCTTCTTTACATTTACTTTAACATTATATACTTATCTTTACTTTAACTTCTAAGAGTTCTCATTAAAAAAATAAAATTCGCAAAATTAAATTTCTTCGACCACTTTTTTTAAACCGTTCTGACGACTCTTTTTTTTAAGAATTCATATACAATTGAATCTACTTTTTTTTCAGTAATTGTAGATTTAATTGTCGCAGCAGTATTGAAACATGATTGTTTACTATTAAGTTTTATTTGAAAAACTAATATATATATGTATATAAAATAACGTTGCCACATTTTCCGAAAATATTAAATAAATAATTTACTTACCAGCTATTTTGAGTTTTATCTATTTCAAATGCAATATCCTTAGTAAAATTTAGTGTTCAAGATCTTTAAATTTAGCTTTATTATCCGTGATTGCATTTGCTGTAATTAATAAAAAAAATACAACGTGATCAACAAAAAATGTTTGAGTTGGCAACCCATTCTCAGTAGTGTTTCTTGTGATACTATTGCTAAATCTAACTCGCTATGTCCAAAAAATTAGGTTATGGTATTAACTAAAAGTTTTATTACTAGTTATTGTGATAATGAATGTATTGTTTAGTTGTTAAATGTAGCAAAAGAACCAATTTTAAAATCATTAAACTCCACCAAAATATGAGAAGAATTTTTTTTCTATTTTTCCGAGAGTCACCAGTTGATTATTAAGAACGTAGTGGAGAGTTAATCTGCCATTTTTCAGACACCCGGTGTAGGTATTTTAATTCTTTGTGTTCACAAAAAAAGCGAAACAGGTTTACGTTGGGTCACTCCTTCCTACGGTAATTTAAACAATATACTTTAAAGTGTTTTCACAAAATTAGTGGAACAAATGTTTCATTTCATTTTCTCCTGATATTTAAAATTTTATAGAACACGAAAATGCAGTTTTATCTTAATTGCTTGTTGGGAATTTATTGGACATTCTTGCCGAAATAACTGTACTGTTTGTTGCAAAGGCATAAAAAGGCCGACAAAAATTTTCCTCTCACCGCTTACAAAAATCGATGATGTCATCTCAAACGCATTATTGAGTAAATTTCATTTAATTTCATCTAAGTGTGCAGTGTAACATGTTACTTGACCTCCAATCTAATAATAATCTATAATTTTATAGCTGGGGTTGCGTATGCGGGTTATACTAAAAAAGTCTTCAAAATTTTGGTCGGAACTATCGACAAATACTTTTATTAGGTACCTATTCAAAATAATAAAACTAATTATTACAAAAAAAAATCTTTGTTGGAAAATATGTCTGCTGGCGATTTTATTTGACAGATAAATCTCGGAAACTAGTGAATTTAGGCAAGATGGTGCTCAACCACATTTTTAGAATTGTTAGAAATTACTTGGATGAAGAATTTAATTGCAGATGGATGGAAAGAGGTGGTCCAATAGTGTGGCCAGCAAGATCTCTAGACTTAACTCTATGTAATTATTTTCTGGGTTACGTCAAATTTCAGGCATTTTAAACTTCAAAAGTGACGAAAGTGCGAGAAAATTATTGTTCCGTCACAGTTGACCAAAAATTTTGAGGAAAAAACATGCAAATGTTTTCATAGCTAAGTTTGTTTTCAACGCATCAGTTAAAACCCTTTTTTTCTGCTACAACCACCAATAAATTTTTGACGTCAAACGGAATCTACATTAAGTAAATTTTGCTGATTTTCAACCAACCTTCATTTCCTAAAAATTATACTTTTTTTCTGAGTTATTAGAGATCTTGTGAGAGAATATGAAATTTAATTTTGCTTACAAAAAAGAAAAAGAAAATTATTTGTAAAAACTGAAACTAATACTTTTGCAAAAAAAGTATCTAAATATATAGAATTACGTCATAGAATTTTAAATTCTTATAAAACTATACTTTGCTCAAAAGTTGTTATTTGTTTAAATATTGATTATAATTGAAGTCCAATAATTATTGGACTTCAATTATGTATTTATTTTAATCACTTCGAAACACCAATTAATCATTTTCTTTACACCACATGATCGAAAAAAGTCGTCTAGTAGGCCATGAAATTTATTTATAAATATAGTGATGTTGACGTTACAGCTCTTCGACGGTTTATTTGACCGTAACTTTTCGACGTCGTAAACTAAATTTTTACCACATAGCAACTTATTGTTACCCAGCAACCATTGAACATTTTTTTGTGTTAACGAAACGTACACGTGAAAACAATAAATATTAGCACACAGATAAAAAAGCGTGTGTATAAATTTCAGCGAAACGTACGGTGGTTTCGGAGATTATCTGTCGAATAAATTTAATTTTGCTTACAAAAAAGAAAAAGAAAATTATTTGTAAAAACTGAAACTAATACTTTTGCAAAAAAAGTATCTAAATATATAGAATTACGTCATAGAATTTTAAATTCTTATAAAACTATACTTTGCTCAAAAGTTGTTATTTGTTTAAATATTGATTATAATTGAAGTCCAATAATTATTGGACTTCAATTATGTATTTATTTTAATCACTTCGAAACACCAATTAATCATTTTCTTTACACCACATGATCGAAAAAAGTCGTCTAGTAGGCCATGAAATTTATTTATAAATATAGTGATGTTGACGTTACAGCTCTTCGACGGTTTATTTGACCGTAACTTTTCGACGTCGTAAACTAAATTTTTACCACATAGCAACTTATTGTTACCCAGCAACCATTGAACATTTTTTTGTGTTAACGAAACGTACACGTGAAAACAATAAATATTAGCACACAGATAAAAAAGCGTGTGTATAAATTTCAGCGAAACGTACGGTGGTTTCGGAGATTATCTGTCGAATAAATTGCTAGACAGATTTCGACAGACAGAGGAACGGAAACAAGAGATTAGAGATTCATTTATTCCTTCATTGGGTGACTTTAGTACCATACTTTCATAGTTAGTATTCGAGGAGTAAAAATTAGAACGATTAATGACAGTTTGCAAATTCTTATAAATAGCTTACAGTATTATTTAATGGAGGCGAGCCACAGAATTTGTAATCGAGTTATCCTTGGAAAGAATTTAGCATGTCGGAGATTAAATCATACTGATAAATGTCAAAAAATGACAATTGTAAAAGCAAAAATGGCGTGTACTTTTTTTTAGCTAACCTTTATTTAAGCCATGAAAATTCGGTTTTAAATGGCAGCTGAGACCAGCAATGATTCTATTCATTTTCTTCGAATGGATTTTTATTTTACATGAACCGAATGAGCAATATTCCATAAAACTATACAGTTTGTGTAGTTGCATAATACATTGTAACTATGAATCATGATCTTGAAAAATATAAAAAATAAATCTAGAAGATGGTTTTCCCAATATGTGATTCAATTATCATTATAATAATATTGATATTTTGCGATAACTACTACGCGTGGTTACTTTTAAAGAATCTCGTACAGATAGATAATAATTTTAGTACTTTTCCTCTTCTACTTGTTTTGCAAAATCCGCCTTTTTCGGAAATGATTTGAAAACCCGATTATAAACCCATATCACCTTAATCCCCCACAACTTAGACACACCTTAATCAAAACAAAAATACCCACACCAAATCATCATATTCTCTCCAATCAGCCAATCGCTCCTCTTTCACAATCGATAAAAATCCTATCTTATCATTCCGCCATCGGAGTGTTCCTCGCACAAACATGAATTCACGCCATTTCGAAAAAACCGAAAGACGTCAGCAAAAACCCACCGTTGAAGTCGTCAAAATCCAGCCCCGCGACACCCTCGACGTGGACTTCCCCTCCCAGGTCAGACATCCCCAAACCAACCTCTTCAAGAGCAAATCCGATTGGTACATCAACCTCCTAAGCGATGACGTAAGTAATTTTTAATGTACTCCTTAGCTTTTAATTGAAGCAATTGGGTGAAATGTGGCCGAATGAGTAACAATTTCGTAATTGGGAGCGCCGCATCTTATCAATGAGCTCATTATTTGCTCGAAAACATAAAGAACGACAACGCTATCGTTGAACGGATGTGGTCATAACAGAAAAGAAAAATTGTGGAGCCGACACAATGTGGAATCGGTGCGTGGTAGAATGGCTGAAGAAACTGCGGTACGACATAGACTATTACGATGAAGTGCTTCTTCCTTGCGAATACGAAGAAATGAACAATTTGAGTGCTTCGTACGAGAATCTCTGGGAGTGTTACAGTGAAAATGCGAAGAAAGTCGCTTTGAAGTATGGAGAGGTCTGTCGAGTGTCGGTCGTTGTGGACGAGGAGGTGGAAAATTTGAAAGTCGCGCCGATTCTCTACGAGTGTTTGGATCCGGACGATCTCCCTGAAGATGTCATTATGTGGAAGAAACATCTAAGACACACTTACTACGGGGAGGACGAAAATTTTCTCGAGAACGAGGTAGACATTACGATTTTATAAGTTTTATAAAGGGGTCAAGAACACTGACTGATACACTATCAGTGCAAACATGAAAAAATTTATTGACGTAGAGGCTGCATTTACATGGTGAAGGACAAAATAATGAGTGCAATGATGGAGTCACAATCACAAATATAGCGCTACCCATCCGGTGTAATTATCAGCAGCCGGAAGAATTATTCACGCTGTGGAATGTACATTTGTACTTGGAGAGTCGTGGTTTATTAGAGGAAAATTTTCTGCTTACACTTAAAGAGGATTTTTCTGTTTAATTGCTAGGTTGTTTGTTTAGATATGAGTCATAATAAAATTTGAATTATTAATCAAAATAACAGGTGGGAATGCGGCTATAACGACTTGGGTTGCATGCTCTATAAATTTTTGTGTTTACAACAGTTAAACAAACAAATTCAGAAAGTAATGGATTAATTATAAACACTAAATTTTTTGTTCGTGGTAGTATGTGAGTGATGTCAACTTATTATGTTAAATATGGAACATGGAGAATTTTGTCGACGTACTTCCCACAAAAATTGACGCAATATTCAACGAAAACAGACTTCTTTTCATTCATTCAAGGCACAATCATGAATTGTCCACCAGCTTGGTGGTTCTAATTTACGTGTTTAGCATCTTTAATCAATATTATATATTTGTTCTTGTGAAAAATCAACAATGTTTTCATACCATTTAAAAATTATTACAGATGTTACTCTATAAAATAATAAGTTCACTAGTTGGTAGTATTGCTAATGTTTGACAAATTGTACAACTGTCAAAAAGGATAACATACGTCACTTTTTTCTTCCAGAACGTTAATAATCAAAGGCGCTGCGCAGTACACGAGATACGAAAATGCAGATTTCCACTGTCGTTTATTCTTTGTCCTTTGATGGTGGTTTATATTTTATTAGACACTTATAATAATTATTTTGAAACTGAAATTTTAGGTAGATAAGTGAGTCTCATTTTAAATAGGCCGTATAGCATGCACAGCTTCGAAAAATAGCAGATTTTGTATCGATTATCTCACAAATATTGAGTGAAATTCAAATTTCACAGTTACAAATATCTTCGCTAATGTTAAACAAATCTGTATTAAAAATAACCCTGACACGTATGCATTATTTGCTGTGTTTCAAAAATGAAGCAAATTAATTGTAAATAAACAACTTAATAGAGTTTTTGTGTGCTACTTTTTGTAAAAAGTGAACAACCGATAGATTTATTTTTTAATTATATTTTATTATATCTGGACTTCTTAACCACGCGTAGAAATATTCTTATTTTACATTTATATATTAGGTTTTAATGCTATAATTCTTTTTTACTTATTACAGTTCAAGAACATCAGGTGCATGATAACTTTTTAGATTGTTTGAAAATCATTTACGTTATTGGCATGATAAAATAAAAAAAAAATGTTGCATGTCATGATAAGTTAGCACGTGTTTCAATAATGTTCCAAAATATTTTATTTTTCATTAATTAATTTGAACTGAGGTCAGTAAATTTTCGAATCGGTATAGATACATATGCGGATATGTACAATGTAACACTAATTATGCTTTGTAGTAATTATAGCAGTGACTGGTGATTCGTTTTGATATACCGGGTGTCTGGAAAATGGCGGATTAACTCTTCAGTACGTTATGTACGGGGGTTTTGGATGTCCCAGAAAAATAATTATCTCTGGTTTACTTTCTGATTTCTTAGACGATGGTGACTGAAATCCACCTTTTATTTTTTTAATAAACCAAAACCAACAAAATAAAAACCCATTAAAGCATAACCAAGCAAAGACTAGAGAAAATGTTCAAAATGCCTGCCTAGTGCATATAAATAAGCTCGTCCTATTTCCAAATTTTAATCATTTTTTGTAAAAGTTAGTCATCAGTACTTCGTAAGATAAAATTGATTTTGGCAAATGACATGCCCTCTAAAAAAAAAGAGTGTGGGTGGGCGGGGCTAGAAGCTGCTAAGAGAAGACTGATTTTGGCAAATGCTCGCGGCGTTTTTCTTTATCTTCTAGTCTTAAACATCGTAGATAAAAATAAAATTTTAAAAATACGCTATTAACATTTATCTAATAATCCTGTGCAATTAGATTTAAATAATTTTTAACTTAACTTCATCAAATTAAGCTTATCAGTCTTATCACTTATGGTTTTACACAATAAAGCTACAGTTAAAATTGTATTAAAATGTTTCGATTACGTATAATGTAAGAAATAAATCTTTTAGAGACCAAAAACACAAAAAAATAACGTCCGAGGGTCTCAGGAATTTTTTTTGTTGTTCGGTTTGATTTAGCTCTCTATTGAACTTGTTTAAGGAAACATTATCTAAATAGTCTCTGAATGAAATAGGCACAACAACTATGAAGTAGCTCCCAAATTTCATTCAGTATTCTTCGATTCATAGAAAAAAATGGAAGTCTGTGCAATGATAACAACTTTTATAATAATATAGGAATGTGAATTGAAGATTTAGGTACACCTCCAGAAGCTCTTTTCAGCTTCATTTCTTCGAAATTTGGAAATTTTTCAAAAATTTGACTTCCAAATGGAATATTTCGAAAATCTTACTCCCGGACCATGAACACTCCATATTTTTACCAAAGCTCAATTTTACAATATTCCCCCTTGTGAAATATTTAACCATTTTTCGACCACTTCGAAAATTACCTAAAGAAATTTTTGTAGATACCCACATCATTTAAGATTGTTAAAAAATTTGATTTTCAAACCGAATATTTCCCAAAATATTTCCTTATGAAATCTTCGACCATTTTTCGACCATCTTTGAAAGTTATCTGAAGGTTTTTTTTTGTAGATTTCAACCTCGAGAAATAAATTATTTCCGGCATTTTTTGAAAATTTCTATTATGAATCCTCTGTAACTTTTCCCTTTACGACGTTGCTATGAAATCATTGGGGGATAAATACTGCCACTCACTTAACATGTGAATAGCATTGAATTATCACCCGGTATAATTTTTTGACACATTCTGTGCAATTAATTGTTAGTCTTATGACCTGCATATAGAATACAGTGTTTCAAGGTAAATTACTCCATTTTTTTTTCGGAAAACCTATATAAAGTTATATACCTTATAGTATTGCAAAATATCAATTCAGTAGACGACAAACAGACAAATTTTGAAATTCAAGTGATAGCGACTGACTGACGAAAAATGCAAACCCACATTTTCGTATTCTACGATCTACGAGACGTGAAACTCCCTCGAAAAAATCTTTAAATAGTCGTCAAAATAACCTATAATAACGGGTGCTCAGTTGAAAAAGTCATCAAGTTGGCTTTGATTTTTGTAAACATTGTCAAGATATCTACAACACAGGTCTACAATAACCCTAAAATTTAACCGACGAAAGCTGACAACGCGAAAATGTCAATTGTTCACAGCAGTAGGAATTAATAAAACACATGCGTTTTTCGCTACATTGTCTTCTATTAAAAAAGCAACGCCAACTTGACAACTGTTTCAATTCAACACCCGCTACTTCTCCTAACTATCCTTTTAGAAGTAAAAAATGACTATCTTGTTAGGACACCCTCTCATATTTTATTTTGCAAGTAAAATCGCTTATATCAAATTAATTCTAAACTGATTCACCTTCATATTTAGCATTGGTAACTGTAGTCTGTTTACATATAAATATTAAACCTTGATTGTGTTAGGACAAAATTCTTGACAAAAAAAAATGGAATATAAACTTTATATTCAAGTGTAACTCAACTGCTTATACTTTGGAAAGTATGTATCTTATGATCGAAAAAAAAACATCCTTTAGTCAGCCATGGAATAATTTTTTTGCATCGTTTTCTTGCTTGACTCCATTTCGGTTTTGTCAAAATATTCTATGACACTATCAAAATTTACTTTCCTGTCTTTCAATTGATAAAATGGAAAGATTGTTTAGTCGCGCGTAGCTTATTGTGGACCTTAAGCACGATTTTATAAACTTTAATTGTGAAAAGCTTTTTTCACATGAAGCCACCGAAACACAAATGGTTAAAAAAATCTTAGACACATCGCTAGACTCGAAACAGACTCAGAATTTTATGATGAATCTGAAAAGTTCCAATGTAGTCCACTGAACCACTTCTTGGGAAGAAATGCTGGCGGCTTCCACGGGGCGTCTCAGTCGTAAATTTTTCAAAATTATGTCCTCTACAGAAAATTAATTGTAGATTTTTGTCAGATTTGCAACTATTCCATGCACATCTTTTTTTGATGACGTTAGCAGTGGGATTTATAAACTTACCGTTGCAGTTGCTGTTCTCGCTGAAGGTGCTTTTAGAGCTGAAAATTGTCATTTATAAACTGCGTTGCCAAGTTGCCGTTAATAGTAACTTTGATGTTCAACTTTTGCCGTATTTAAAGGGGCTGTAGAAAGACATATAAGTTGATTACTACAAAAATTTACCATTTTAGACATGTTTTAAGTTTCTTGTTGTCGAAATAACTCTACACATAACAAGAAAAAAAGGCAAAATGTAGCCCCGCCCACCCACCCTCTCTCAATTGTGATGATTTTTTTTATTCGCCGTTAACCAAGGGGACGGAACTTAACTGCAAAATCCTTATTTCTCTACGAGAAGTTAAATACATTTTTTTGGAGTATCGTCTTGTTTAAAGAATATACTATGTATATTAAGAAAAAAATAAAGCCAAAGATTAGGCCCCACCAATACCCGCCCCTATCTCAATTCTCAATTGTGATGAACTTTTCATTCGTTGTCAGATCGCGGGGCGGGGCTTATTTACAAGATCCATATTTGTCTACAAGAATTTACCATTTTAAACATGTTTTAAGTTTCTTGTTCTGAAAAGACAACTACGTATATTAAGCAAAAAGGCAAAAAATAAGCCCCGCCCACCCGCCCTATTTCAATTGTGATGATTTTTTTAATCGTTGAGAGCTAAAGGACGGAATTTAAATACAAAATTCTTATTATTTCTCTACAAGAAATTACCATATAAGACATTTTTTTAAGTCTCGTGTTATTCAAAGAATACTATGTATATTAAGAAAAAATTAAAGCCAAAGATTAAGCCCCACCCACACCTGCCCTGATATAAATAGTAATGAAGTTTTCATTCGTTGGCAGACCTAGGGGCGTGTTTTAAGTTTCTAAGAATAAAAAAATCATCACAATTGAGACGGGGTGGGTGGGTGGGGTTTATATATTTTTTTTTTCTTAATATACATAGTATTCTCTGAACAACACAATACTCAAAAACATGATTTTAATTTCTTGTGAAGAAATAAGTATTTTGCAGTTAAACTTCGTCCCCTTGGTTCACGGCGAATAAAAAAAAAACATCACAGTTGAGATAGGACGCGTGGGCGGGCTTACAGTTTTCCTTTTTGTGTTAATATGTGTAGAGTTCTTTTCACAATATGAAACTTAAAACCCACATTTCTTTGCAAAAATTTACCATTTTAACCATGTTTTAAGTTTCTTGTTATGAAAAGATGGCTATGTATATTAAGAAAAAAGGCCAAATATAAGCCCCGCCCACCCGCCCTATCTCAATTCTGATGATTCTTTTTTATTCGTCGTAAGCCGAGGGGCGGAGCTTAATTGTAAAATCCTTATTTTTCTACGAGAAATTACCATGTAAAATATGTTCTTAAGTAAGCGTGTTATGCAGCAAACTGAATGTATTAATTAAAAAAATAACCAAAAGAGATCTTAACCGTAATGAATTAATTCTTCATTCTTTGTCAGACCGAGCGGCGGAGCGTAATTGTCAAATTGATATTTTTCTATACAAATTTACCATTTTAAACATGTTTTACCTTTCTTACATCTTGTACGTGGTTGACAGTGGCATTTAATTTAAACAAAAATTTGTCATTGATTATTATTAAAATTTCATAACCTAATTTTTTGGACCTTTAAAAGTAGCAACAAAAATATTAGGTAAAAATTTGAGAAGATGTTATACCGATAGAACAATAAAAAACACAATTAAAAACAGCCATGAAATTCTGAAAGTTTGTCTTTGATCGTTGCATTTTCAACGTAGAGAGGAAAATTCTATGAAAGACAATTCTTCAAAATTCCATGGCTGCCTTGTATAGTGTTTTTTTTTTGTTGTTGTCTTAGTACATTTTACATCAAAAAACTAGAAAATAAGTTACCGCCGTCTAGTGTAATTTTTCTAGATGCTCTTTGTAATGAACTCAACTTTAGTAATATGTACGCAAAAAGTATTTAACGAAGTAGGTAATAATGCAAAATGTCATATACGGAATGACTTCCATAAATAACTGCTTTATCAGTTAGTCAATAAGGAACAAGGTACACAGTTTGTAATGCACATATTAGAGTATTTATTATATTTTTGTTGGTACTAAAATTTTTTTCTGACTCATAAATTTCACATCAACTACATTTATTTTGTCAACATTTTTATTCTTTGTATCAAGTGTAAATCTTTGAAGTTGACATTTAATAAATTTTAGGAGTATCTATCTATCAAAAATACTAAGTTTAAGCACAGTTGATTACACTGTTTTCTCTTAACAATATCACTTTAAGATATTTTCCTTACTCTTATGATGTAAAAGATGTGTTGGGTACTCCATTCTTTTTACACACTATGATATCAACAAAACATTTTGTCAAAATTTTTGTTTTTCGGTATTCCTGAATCGGGTGAACAGACTGCAGTTAAAGGCAACAGAAAACAAAAACAAACCCAACTAAAGAAAAAAAAAAACTTTGTAATTTTGATTTTAGAAAATTCATCTTCACTTTAAAAACTTGAGGTGACTGAAAAAATGAAGAAAAAAAAATGTTGGGAAAATTATTTTGACGTTTTAAGAACCAACAATAATTACATGTTTTCAAAACAAAACTTGAGTAATGAAATGAGTAATGAAAACATTAGAAAGTTATCATGAAACATTTATTACTGTCATTTGGTGGATTTTATAGGAAATAAATTATACGATCGAAAACCAATAAAACAGTATCGCATTAAAGCAGTGCCGAAACTAGCTATAGGCCGAGTAGGCCCTTGCCTAGGAGCGCCAACGACAAGGGGCGCCAAATTCGTCCAAAAATTATGTTGTATAGTTTTGGAAATTTCATTGTACCCTATAAAATTTTATTGGCAATAACGAAACGCACAGTAGTTACAACTTAAGTTGTCGTGTGCCCGTAATCCTCAGATGTTAGAAACCAGAATAATCCAGGTCCGAGCTTGGACCATCGTTACTTATGAACGGAAATGACCATTATTTTATGAGTACAACTACCTGGCAAATATTCTCAGACAAATTCGAGTGAACTGGTGTGAGCCATAAATATTTCTTACCATTGTACTACTGTCCGTCTCGTTATCGTCAATAAAATTTTATAGGGTAGAATGAAATTTCCAAAACTATACCAAGAATTATGTCATATTAATCTTTTTTTAGAAACATGTAATCGGTGCGACAGGTTTTTTAATGTTGATTTTATTTTGAACTTATATAATATTTATTGATTTATGCATATTATATACCTATATGTATAATCTCGAATTTTTTTCTTTTTTTTTATATTTTATCATAGTATCTGTTTTACTTATTAAAAAATATAAATAAAACTGTTCTGTAAAATTGCATTTGTATGTGTAGGGGAGGGGCGCCTAACGCAAGGTTCGCCTATACCTAAATATTCTTTGGTTTCGCCACTGCATTAAAGATTTGAAATAGAACTGATCGTAGTATGAAGACAACTTAACTTTTTAAATGGCACAACCGCTGTGGTAACCTTATTGTTTCATCCATCAATGTTACTAAATTTATATTGGGTGACATAACAAAATTTTCCAGTAAATATGATTAGATAAGTTCTTTTTGAAACTTTGTACTGTTGACAAAAAAAAGATTGTTAACTATAATTCGATAATAAATCTTATATTATGATATTATTGCACTGAATAAGCTATAATCTTTTCAAAAACGTATTTCCGGTAAAACCGGAAGTAAGTGCTATGAATTTCACGATTAGTTAGACTTTAACAAAATTGACAAATAACTTGAGGACTTGAGACAAAACACCCGGCATATCGATTTTCATAAAACTATAGCAGTTTAAAAATTTTGACATTCAGCACTCTGTTGGTGGCAACCCAGTAGTGTTGAATTACATTTACACAATCAAAATTAATTCCCCGAACCTAAAACCCCAACAGCGTGTAGACGAATTTCCGACGAGTGTCAACCGCAATAAAAAAATTTAAACCGCCGTCCTCACTTGGCGCTAATTGCAATCGCCAATAAAACCTGTCAAATTTATCAAAGCAAATAAACACCGAGTGGGGCGATAACTGTGTACAATTTTTATCAGTGTTATCATAACGCGCATGTTTACATCAACGTAATACCTTTTTTATCCCACTTTCTGAGTGCTTCGACCTGTGGTCATGTGTTCGTTATTTATTTTATAAAAAATTATTGTACATAAGTAAAAAAATGACAAGGCATTCAATCGCGTTCGATCGTTTGCCCGAAAACGAGCGAAGACAGTTAGAGGTACATACAATTAAATTGAAAAAAATTGTATTTCGCGATATATGTAACCTCAACTCTTGTGTGCTTTAACAATTTGTGTAAATTTGCAGGACCTGATCACCGATTGCGAAAATGAGCCGAAACATTTGGTTGCGAGTGTCAGCAAGCCGGGAAATTTTCCACTTCCTGAAGATGAAGAAGTTCAGATTAGAACGACTGTTAGGAACATTAAACCGGAGCGACCGAGGACGTACGCGCCAACTTTGACGTAAGTACCTGGTTGACAGATTGGCAGATTTGTCACTTTGGGGAGTAGTGACCGGAAGATCTGGCACCTATGCAACAATGACAATGTGTTACAAATACATATTTTAAATGAGTCGTAAAATCGTAGAAATTATTTGTTTTTCTGTCTTTGTTAACCATGTTAACCACATCTACAAAGATAATAACCGCTAATTTTGACGTCAGTGGTTGATAGATATTGTCACTGAAAAATATAGTATCATGGTAACAATAGAATTTGACGTACAGTGACTTGTAAAATACAAATTCGTCTCTTTTGTCTCTAACTGATCATAAGTAAATGTATTAATCACATCGTAGTATTCAAGTAAGTGCTAATTTTGATATCAACATTATGTTGATACATGTGTCAGTGAGAACTAGTGAAAAGAAATAGTCCGAATATTTTTTTGGGTGAGTGAATGTTACTATTATGACATTTATTATTTTATAATTATTAAATACAGGCGGGAGCGACATTAGTGTATTTTTACATTTTTAAAAAATGGGCTGAAATATTCTTGATTTGATGAATAAAACAAAAAAAAATCCATACAAAAATAATAATACATGAGGACATTATTTTATAAAATTTAAATATGCTTTACTGCGTAAAATGTTGGGCGAAGATCATAATATTATTGGTGGGTACAATTCGAGGAGGGTAGAATAAGAACGGAGGGATAATACGGTCGAAAAATGTGGTACCGACCGTCCGAAATCTAGACACCGTTTATGACGGTGTTTGGAATACGCGCTCGGCTAAACCACGCCCCCAGTTTCGAGAGAATCGCTAAACAGTGGCGGGCAAAGTTACTCAAGTTATACATTTATTACTTACTTATGAAAACTAAGTCTGTCTTTCACAGATTCTTTACTTCCATTCCACGACTTACAAAGTTTGCAGTTCACCATGTTGAATTTATTAAAAACAAAACGGCTTAAAGTATAAAGATATACAGCACGTGATGGTACAAAATAACTGAGATGTACGCCCATGGAGTACGATGGGCTTTTCTCGAGGTTTGTAGCCAGCTCGCACATGCGCACAGTCGACAGACCGACCGTAAACGGTGTTTGCGGTAGTTGATTTTGGGCCAAAACCGTACCATTGAAAGCATACGACATGCTCCCTCCGTTCTTATTCCACCCTCCTCGGTACAATTAGATAAATTTTCGTTAGCGTTTTACCATCTACCATCTAAAATACGCACAAAATTTGACAACAATTGGTACAGCAGTTTCGGAATTCGGCAGTTATCTGTCTAATAAAAATTTACACGGACGACAGACAGACAGACGGATATGGGATACCTATTTTTTGGCACACTAGGGGTCATGAAACGTCGAGAAAATATGAACGTAGTCAGTCTCCAGTGCGCTTCCTTTTTTCGATACTTTGTCACGTGAACTTTCTTGACTACCACGTGGCACACATCAGATATACCTCCCCGACAGACCCATATATTTTTACTATCCAAGCGAAAATGACGGAAGTATTGTAATAAAGTCTATTTGCCGAATACCTAATTTTCCGACATTTCGTAGATCCTAGGAATGTGAGAAAGTAGGTATCCCGTTTGTCCCGTCTGTCGTCATTGTCAATGCTAGCGATTTTATTAGTCCGATTATCTTCGAAACTACTGCACGATTGTTGAGAAATATCAAACCTATTTTAAGAAATTCAAGGTTATCGTACAATCGCTAATCAGAATTCATCTATTCATCCGTTCCATAAACCTTGACGACGTTATCTCAAAATTTTGTTAAGTTTCGCTTGAAACTTCTAGTGTGATATGCAATATACACGGGTTATTAAATAAAATATAAAATTGACAAAAGAAAATTTTACAATTTTGAAATTTTGGGAAGAACTTAAATTAATGATTATTACAGTACAACGTCAAAATTTATTTATTCGTCCCCTCTAGAAAGTCGATGACGTAATTCCAAGAAATTCGGTTGCGCTTTAGTAACATGTTTTAATATTTCTGAATTGAGAAAGTCATTAAGTAGGCGTTTTTAATAGAAGAAAACGCATGTGTTGTTTCATCAGTTCATACTACTGGGTACAACTGAATTTTCGCGTCAGCTGTCACCTATTAAATTTTAGACAAACCTCAAAATGTTGACAAGAAATCAAGATCAACTTGATGACTTTTTCAACGGAATACCTCATACATCTACACTATAACAGGCGAATCAACTTTATTATTTCTCTAAAAAACTAAATTTATTATTAATTGAGCTTTAGGAGTGAGGGTAATACAATACAGTAATTATCCATAATAAAATTCAGACCGTTTTGCTCCATTGTAGCATTTATTAATAATAATTTTAGCCACCTGCACTGTTTTGCCGCGACAAAATCAATCAAAGTATACAGGTAAACAGTCAAAGTTAAGCATGTACTGAGAATGCATTTTTTCCTTCGCCTGTAGAAAAGTTCTGTCGGAATAAGAATCGAAAGCTGTAAATATGCAACTTTTAAATGTATATATATATATTTGAAAATAATAATTTTATATAACTCTAAATGAGTTCTATGAGGTTAAACGATCAAAACGGAATAGGAACGCGCTGAGTTTAGCTTTTTTCGACAGAGTCTTTTAGGCAAACAGTAGCCCCACCCACCAACCCCTTCTTCATTTCAATGACTACTCTTAATATTGTTCAGTCTTATATTAGTACTAGCCCCGCCCACCCGCCCTCTCTTTTCTTAGAGTGTATGTGAAATGGCTGATCGAAAAATTGTAAAATCTAAACATTGGAACAATTTAATAAAAATTAACTTGTAATAAAAAAAATTTAATCCTAGATTCTATTTATTTATCAACATAAAACCAACTTTCGTTCTTCAGAGCCAATAAGAATGAATGATCAAAACGGAATAGGGGTGGGTGGGCGAAGCCACATTTTACTTTGTTTTAAATCTCAAATTTTACCCCTTGTCAAAATAGAAAAGAGGTGGACGGAGCGAAGTTTAGCTTTTTTTCTAAAGACTCTTATAAGCAAGTCGTAGCCCCGCCCACTTACCCCCTCTTCATTTCAATGACTATTCCTAATATTGTTTAGTCTTTTCTTGGCAAATACTAGCCCCGCCCACCCGCCCTCTATTTTCTTAGAGAGTATGTCATTTCCCAAAGTTAGTCTTATGTTAGCAAGTAGTACTAACAAAAAAAAAAAATGAAAAACTGAAAAATTAAAAACTCGTGAAATTGGTGATAGAAAAATTGTAAAATCTAAAGTTGAAACAATTTAGTAAAAATTAAATTGTATTAAAAAAGAATGTAATCCTAGATTCTATTACTATTTATCAACATACAATCCAACTTCCGTTCTTCAAAGCCAATAAGAACGAATGACCGAAACGAAATAGGGGTGGGTGGGTGGGGCCACTTTTTACTTTGTGTCAAATCTTAGATTCTACCCTTTGTCAAAATAGAAAATAGGTGGGCGGGGCGGAGTTTAGCTTTTTCTAGAGTCTTATAAGCAAACAGTAGCCCCGCATACCTATCAGTGACTACTCATAATATTGTTCAGTGTTATCTTGGCAAGTACTAGCCCCGCCCACCCACCCTCTATTTTCTTAGAGGGTATGCCATTTGCCATAATCAGACTTATCTTAGCACGTACTAACAAAAAAAATGAAAAATTGAATAACTGTAAAATCTAAAAATTGAAGAAACAAAAAAATGAAAAATTGAAAAAAAAAACTATAAAATCGAAAAATTGAAAAATCGAATAACTGAAAAATTAAAGAAAATTAAAAAAAAGAACCGAAAAATTGCAAATCGAACAATTGAAAAATGTGTTCTTTTTGCCGCGACAAAATCATTCAAAATCAGACAACTTGCTACGTGCTTAATCTTCACATTCTTTCGGTGTATACAGATAAACAGTCAAAGTTAAGCATGTGCTGAGAATACATTTTTTCCTTCGCCTGTACTTCTCAAGTACAGCCAGAGGCGAGGAAAGTTCTGTCGAAATAATAATCGAAAGCTTTAAACATGCAACTTTTAAATGTACATATACCTATTTGAAAATAATAATTTTATATAACTCTAAATGAGTTCTATGAGATTGTGTCAAATTCCATAATTTACGAACAATGCGTAATTTTCGGTCGCCAAACCTACGACATTTGAATTTACATGCAATGAAATTATGATAAAATCACGGAAAAAAAATAACGTAAATAAATATTTAGTTACAAACCTGTGAGTAGTAGAACAAATATACAAATTACCTTGAAAGCTTCAAAACCGGTTTTAGGAAAAACCAGTGTTTACCCTTCTACAGTCGCGTCCAGAAAATCTTGGACGTTATTTTTCTGTCATTTTGAAAATATTGATGTAGGTAATCTGTGCTTGACGGTCAGTTTGACGTTTGAAATTTAAAAGATTTGTCACGTCACATCGAATGTCAGAAATGACAAAACTAAAAAAATTAAGTTAAATTACCTAAGGGTGTTTCACATTCTGTGACATGCCATGTTATCTAATTATTTTAGTTATTTTCCTTAACCCCTCTTCAAATAATGTTTTCACATCTATTAGCTAACCATTCATCACACTGCATAAATTTTGACTTTTTTGTAAATCGTGCTACGTAAATTTGTCGTACATTATCTAGTCCATGATGGCCATTTGAGATATCGCTCAAACAAATAAAATTTGAGATAACATCATAGATTTTTTCCAATATCAAAAAATTACCTTGGGATTGTATTTATTATAGCTGATATTAGTAGATATTTCACAAATATTGACCCGAATGTGTGATTTGAAATATCAATAATTGTAAATTCTAATTTTGCAGCCAATCATAATGTAAAAACTACCAACAAATAGATACTGCAAAGAATTGATAGTACAAAAGTCCACAAACTGTAAAATAGGGGTATTGAACAAAATTATTGAACCCTAAAATTAGAAATTAAAAAAAAAATAAAACCCGTTCTTTGTTTGGGACCAATAAGAGAATAAGCACTATAAAAGGATGCCTAATATTGCTTTAATTAATTATTTTCACTAAATTTCTATTTAAAAGACGTTGTTTCATTACAATCATTTCTTTTCTTCTTCCAGAAAGAAAAAAGAGGACATCCTCGAGTTTAGGGGCGTCGTTCATTTAGAAATCGGCAGAGAAATCTGCGTCAAAGTCCGCCCCAAAGAAACCCTCCGCACCTACAACGGTGTCCTCCAACTCGTTGATAGCAAAGGAATGAGCAAAACCATACGTAAAAACGTCTCCCTAAAAAGGGGCACGAAGCAAATCGGCAAAAAAGAACTCGAGATGATGGACTGTGATCGAACGATCTACCGTCTAGAATTCGCCACTGCCAAAGAACTAAAAATCTTCCAAGAAAACGAAAAGTCCTACCACACAATCCCGTCGACGTCCGCTTTCAAAAACATAGGCCCATGGTCACAGTTGCGGAAGCTGTTGAAGAAAAGATCAAGTAGAGATCTTTTGGAATCGAAAGGGATTCTTAAAAATGAGCCGATTTTTGGCAATACTTTGGAGAATGTGTGCGATGTTGATGAGCATGTGCCGGAAGTAGTGACGAAGATTATTCGGCTGATTGAAGAACCGACGAACATCACTAGTGTAGGGTTGTATAGGACGAGTGCTAATTTGGCTGTTATTCAGAATATACGGTTTGAGATCAATTCTGGGAGGTGGGACGTTTTGGAAAAGCACAAGAATGATGTCGATGTTCTGACGGGGACCTTGAAGTTGTTTTTTAGGGAGCTGAAGCAGCCGCTGATATCGTACGAGACGTACCAGCAACTGAAAAAAAGCCTAAGTGAGTACATTTTATTGCTAATTATTAATTAATAGATGTACGTATTTTTTCAACAAGACAACAACGTTTCTAAAATTATATGTATAATATTTATTTGTTTATATATCCATTGTATACATTTGAAGTCATAGCCTACTCCAAACGCATATACATAATGTACTAGTTCGTTTGTCCAATCGCAGTCGCTTAGAAAATAAAATGTGGGAAGTAACTTTTGAGCAGTACCTACTGTTAATACGTAACATTAGTGACCACGCCTCCTTCCCCCACCCTTCATGAGTCTGAATAGAAAGCAGTGTGTGGCAGAACCAGCATCGGCGTCAAACACACTATTCCTGTTTTTAAATATTTAGATTCAGAGGCGTTCGTCATTGTTTTGTTAGTCATAGTGGACTTTTCTACCACAGGAGGTATTTCCAATTTAATAGTTTATACATTTGCCTTCGTGCTGGCGTGTTGACAAGTTCACTTAAGTTTGTTTCTCTTTGTTATTTTTTGCGATTTTACAGTTCTTTTCAGTGACAAAGTCAAGTGCGTACGTTACAATACTGACTGATAGTAAAGTGAATAAAAAAAAATCGGAAGAATTCGAAACCACAGATGAACTGAGGCAGAGTGGAATATTAAGCCCACCGTTATTTAATATAATATTCGAAGATGTAACAAAAGTCGCAAAAGGAAAAGCAAAAAAGCTGCATATAGGCTATAGAAACCTACAACATAAGGGAATGTGCTTTTGCAGATCTACAAAAAAAATACTTTCATTTGGTGGATCTTTTTTTGATGCCGTTTGTTGCTTAAACAAAGAATAATTCTGAAGTTATTTTCAACAGTTAAAACATGAATCTCCAACATTTTTGTGTCAGATTATTATTATTATATCATCGCGTTACAAACTCACTTCTATGGAGGAAAGTATTGAAAAAACAATAACTGTTAAATACACAGTGTTAATTCAGACATAGTTACTTAAACCTGTGCTTAAACTACAACTTAGCTACTTAACCCTCACTCAATGCAGCGTGGACGCGAGTTTATGGGCGACCTCACGGGTCCGGTCATTGATTAAATGACTACAAATTATTTTTAGAACATTAAATTAGAAAAAAAAAAAAATTGAGTAAACACGAAATGAACAACCTGATAAATGTGTTTTTATAAAAAAATAATTACAATTTTCAAACATCGATATTTCAGTTTTTTCAAATAAAACACGCTATATTTTATTACTGCATTTTATTCTGGTATTTGTTCGCTTTCTTTTTTGTCAAGTATTCTCTATATTTATAGTTGATAGTTATTGCAGTTTTTGGAAGACACAAAACAAAAAATAGAGTAAGATTGATTAAAATACACTGAAATATCGATAATTTACGACTGTAATGTTTTAGAATTTTTTTAGCAAGCAGTAGCCCCGCCCACCCGCCCTTTATTTTCTTAGAGGGTATGTCATTTGCCAAAATCAGTCTTATATTATCAAGTACTAATAAAAAAAAATGAAAAACTGAGAAAGCAAATCGAAAAATGGAAGAAATGAAAAACTGAAAAATTAAAAATTGGAACAATTTAGTAAAAATTAAATTGTATTAAAAAAAACGTAATCCTGGATTCTATTACTTATCAACATAAAATCCAAGTTCCGCTCTTCAGAGCCAATAAAATGAGAGATCAAAACGGAGTAGGGGTGGGTGGGCGGGGCCATTTCTTACTTTGTTTAAATCTTAGATTCTACCGTTTTCCAAAATAGAATTCAATTCCCATTTTGCAGTAAACAACATATTTCAGTAAAATGGAGAAAAGAAATGAATTGGGGCTGGGTTTAGTTTTTTCTACACCATTTGTTCATTCCAGTGACTACTCATAATATTGTTCAGTCTTAATCTTGCCAAGTACTAGCCCCGCCAACTCGCCCTCTATTTTCTTAGAAGGTATGTTATTTGTTATCTTAATAAAAAAAATTAAAAATTGAAAAAACAAAAAAGTATAAAATCGAAACTCTATGGAAAATTGAAAAAAGGGGTTCTTTGTTGACGCTTGCAAAGCTAAAATTAACAGTTTACTACCCTAACGAACGAAAACGTTCCTAGCAACCGATTATTTGGTCAATATGGGGGAAGTTTGCTTGAAAATTGTGACAACATTGTTCCTCCAACTCTTGTAGTTGTTTCTTGATGGTCAGAGTTTCGTGCTCTTATCTTTCCACGAAATATTGTAACACAGAATTTAGAAATAACAGTACTGCGATTTTTTTGTAAACCCTTACATTGCTAAAAAAATTCAGGAGAGTTGGAATAACGTGGCAACGTCGCATCGGAATTTCAATAAACTATATTATAAAGCCCGGGAAAAGCTAATGAGAATATGTAAAAATATACGCTGTTTTATTAAAAAAAAAAAAAAAAACAAGTTGTGTGTGTGCCTCAAAAACAAAACTCACCGCACACATCGTAGCTCACCCTACATGTACATTTTATATGTATTTTGTTATTAAAATCCAGAAATATAAATTTTATTATTATGAATTAAAACTGTCGTAATTCTTTTAATTACTCGGTTATGAAAACCTATTTATATCTATTCTGTTGAATAAAACAATTTGCAGTTGTGGCCTTATTAAAATTATCGGTTAGCTTACAAAACATTTGCCTCTCAATATTTACATTATAGATTCAGTTTGCTAAAAGTCAGTCAACCAATAATAATTAAATTTGCCTCATAAAATGTGACCTAATTTAATCAGAGCTGGTGCAAAATATTTCAATTGTATTTGCATTATTTACTAGACAACAGGATTATCATAAAAGAATGAACTTCTGTCAAATAATATTTATTATGCTTCTATTGTTTTCTTGTCTACCTGGTGTGGCCCTATTTTGAATGCTGCTTCACTTGATTCATCTTCATCTCCTTCGTGTGCAGATGTTTAATCATAAATAGACGTGTAATAAACATTATTTGACAGAAGTTCATGCTTTTCTGGTAATCCTATTTTGTTTTGAGAATATGTATATTTTTACTATATTCTACGTAAATTTTTACTAATATCTGTTTGTACTCTTAGTGAATCCCGACAATAAAGAAGAAATCCGCTACATCATCGACAGCCTTCCAACCCTCAACCGATCAACGCTTCTCTTCATAATAAAGCACCTTCTCAAAGTCTGTCAGCACAAACAAGCCAACAAAATGGACCTCCACAACATCTCTATCTGCTGGGGTCCGTCTCTAATTGGCCTCCCCGAAGAGCACTGCACAGATCTAGTAACTCAAACAACCGAATTTACAAAAATCACCGAAGATCTCCTCACGTTCTACAGCGACAAAAATTTAGACGTAAGAATGTAATTCGTCGTGAACTTTTTCAAAAAAGGTGTTAATTTTAAAATTACAGGAACCCGCAAAGACGCCCGACTTTGCCTACGAAGTGGTCCGAAGACTGACGCAGATTGTCGAAAACAACATCGAAGTCGAGGGCATCTACCGAAAGAGCGGGTCCAAGGCGAAAATCGAACAAATGATGCAAATGCTGGAAAAACAGAATCTGACTGAACTAAACAACGGGAAAAACGACATTCACGATCTTTGTTGCGTTCTTAAGAAGTATTTAGCGAATTTACGAAGAAAGATCGTTCCTGATGAGTTTTTCCACCAGTATTGCGACCTCTGTGGTAAATTCATTTTTTCACAAAAAAATAAGTCAGTGTTACTGAGTAATTGCTGCTTTTTTTTTCAGATAAAGTCGAAGATAGTATACTCCGTGACGAGGTTCGCCGAATGGTTGCCGAACTTCCCGGAAAAGACACAGTCCTCCTTCTATTCGAGCACTTACAAAAAGTGGTCGCGAACGAACGAAAAAACAAAATGTCATTGAGTGTTTTGGCGGATATTTGGATGACGACACTTATAGGAAGCACGAACTTTCAAAATTACAAGAAAAAAATGCCGAAATATTCAAAATTGTTTTTAACTTTATTGAATCTGAACGAAAAAGTTCTGCCTGATTTAGTGGCCGACCCGAAAGTGAAGTATTGGAGCAAATATGACAACGTACCTGATGATATTCACAACGATGCCGAAACGTCGAACGACAGAATTTTTACCAAATTGTAATCCTACGTTACGTAAGTCTGTTATTTTGTAATATTGTTTTATTTATATGAGATTAATAAACTGTTGTATGTACGATGTGTCTGAGGAAAAAGAAGAGAATTTATTGCGTTTGAATATATACGTATTTTATTGGTCTAGCGAGACTATAGGTCACAATATATAATAACATCAGCTACTAGACAATAAGTACATTTGTAGTCGACAATAAATGTGAAGAATAAAAAAAAACTACGCTACAGCGACGTACGACATTCAACTTTTAATACTATCAACAGTCATCAAAAATAAGAGGAACTTTAATTTTTCATTGGAGAATCTATTGTGCAAGCCCTGATATTGTATCAGAATAAGAAAACATATCCATCTGGAGATATGTAAGACTTAAAATAGGTGGCAGTTAAATTGCTAAAAAATAAAAGTAGGGTTAGAATCACCCAAGCTCTAACCCTACTTTTTTCTCTACTACTACCATGGCCAACTTTATCTATATACTTCAATCGCATACATGGTCGCTTGAAACATAAAAAAAATTAACTGTTAACCATTGGCAATACACACTGTCACAAATAACTGATACTGGATTCTTAAAATATTGCTTAAACTACCATCAAAATTAAAACATAATATTAAAAAATTGAATTAAATGGTTTTGTATTGAACTTTCGTAACAACGCATAAGAGCATTCTGGTAGCGTAGATATTTGATACTATATCTAAAGACATGACACAAAACAAATATATTTTTATCACATAATATCACAAATAATAATAACAATTATTTTATAGTCTGTTTTCATTTTCTGAGAACGTAAACAATGTAGACTTTTAAAAGAGAGCTTAGATGGTTCCACTTTCTGTATGCTCCGCATATACAGATACAGTTGGCCATGCTACTACTGTCAAAACCGGATTCAGACTGACGTAAGCCGTTAGACGCATTACAAAAATTGCCAGTGCTTATTGTCTGAAGCCGGTCCTGGCTGCTATCATCATAGTTACCTTATATTTATTTTTAATCAAATAATTGCACAAAAAATATATATAAGCGTAAAATTTCAATCAAAAATAAAAAAAATCAGTCTCAAACATGGCTTCTCTTATAGTGTCTCTCCAACTGATATGGAGACACACACTGGTAGTTACATTTTGTGCACTTCCTGGGTTTATCCCCATGAATATAAGTATGTTTTCGAAAATTGCTTTTATCTTTAGTTTGGTAATTACAAATAGTACAAACCTGTACAACAGGACCATGTTTCGCGTTATGTCTCTGTAAAGACACTTCAGAATTAGTTTTAAACTCACATACATTACAGTTAAACACAGGAGCTCCTTCATCCACCACCATATGAACAACTTTCTCATGTCTTCGCAAAGAACTCGAATCAGTAGTTTTATAATCACATTGTTTACAATCGTACCAAGTGGTTTTGGTATGTTTGGCGTTAATATGGTAACTCAGTCGGTAACGGCGACTCGTAGAGTATTCACAGTAGGGACATTTGTACTTATCAGCTGTGGTGAGAGCAATGCATTTGTGATTCACTAATTTTTCTTTATCCATCGTGACAAAGGAACATTCGTTACATGATAAAAGGAGGACTTCTTTCTCGTCGGTTTTTGGAAGTTCGGAGTTTGGACTGCAACTCTTCGTCACGATTTATTAATATAACAAAAAAACTTACCTGACGCTTCTCAGTTTGATTAAATCTACCTCCCCATTTCCTTCGAGCTGAGCCAAGGCTTTAGTATTTTCAGGTTCATCGGGGCTGTACAACATGTGTTCTGACACATCATACAGAACACAAGTCAAATTGACTTTACACTGAGAGTTAACTTTGTTCTTTTTCAAGTAAGACAAAATTCTATCTTCGGAAGCCAAACACTTGTTTTTAAAATTATAAAATGCTTCAAACATTGTCAAGCATTCGCTACAGACACCGGGTTGTTCCGAAATGTACAAATCCTACAAAAATATTTACACACTTGAGAAACAACTATCACCTGCTTACCATCTCTGGAACACACAACAGAAGCACATCTTTTGGAATAGCATTCACAATTTGGGAATTATCGAAAGTATCTATGTAAAAATATGAGCTTTTCTCTACGCTCTGAAGACAAGCTCGGCAAATCAGGGCCATTTTAGGCCATAAAAAGTGGGTTTGTTTGTTTGAAATGTTAAGGTTATGTTGACAAATGACAATCGTCAAAGTGGGATTGAGACACAAGCACGATGAATTTCGCACCAACCAATCAAAAATGCGTCATGTGGTCTATTTCTAATTGGGTATTGGTTGTTCGAGTTGCGACTATTTACGAGAGTCCTACTCCTGCAATCAAAGATGGAAACCATAGGCGTGCACAATTTTATTTATTAATGTTCGTATTATGTACAAGTTCCAAATTTACACTAATAAATTTTCTAGTTCTTCACTGGCCGTGGGGTGGGGCACCATCATTTGAGTCTCCTCGGCTTGTGTATTTGTTTCTTTTATAACAGTCATTATCTGTGAAAATTTGAATGTTTTATTTTATTTCAAAGGTGGTAAAAGTGGAGTGTCACTTGTGGCGAGTATTGTTCCACTTTGTCTAGCAGCGTCTCTGGATATCCAGGGGAGTAATAACGAACTATTTCTTCAGGGAAGCAGGAATTTATTATTGTGACATATTCCATGAGTGTAGTGCCGGGTTGGGCCTCGATATATTGCATTCGCTTGAGACCACCAGTTGTCACGAATAGTCGACGAGCTTTGGGGTCGTGGGGCAAAATCTGCAATTTTATTTTTAATAGAGGAATTTGTAATTCTAATAAAACATTTAAAACAGTTTGATTAAGGAAGTCAATGAATTTATTATTGTTATTTGTGAATAATAATTTATAATTTGAGCATATCTCGAAAATCGTACGTGGCATCTAAGTGACGCATAGATAATGTTTTGTTGATGTTTTACAGCGTCTAGAATATGGAAAAGTGGATCTGCCATTTCCATCTCTGGAACTACTAGACTCGTTCTAAAAATGGTAGATCTAGAATTTTTTAAAAGCCTTGTTAAAAAAATATTAGAGTTCACTATACAAGTGTATTAGAAAATCGCATATACATTTTCAGTTTAAAGTATATGTTATTTGCAGCATTGGTTAGTAGTCATTTCTACAACTAAGAGATTTTTGTCAGAGTTGTTCAATATTATTTGTTGAATTAACATTTTGAAGTCTTTCTGATCTATTATGTGTAGTTAATAAAACGTTAACCATGACAAAATAAATCCAGTTTCAAATATGCAAGATAATATGCTTCTATACCTGGGATCAAGGCTGATTGATGATTCATTATAAACTAACCTTGATCAGTGACTTATTGATTAATTCGTTCCAATACTTAACCTAGCGTTTATAATTTATTTTTGAAACTACAACACTTATTATTGCTCTGAAATTTGGCGCCCGCTTTAACGTTATTGTGGTAAATTGTTAATCAGAATTCATCTGTTCATACCTTCCAAAAACTTGATGACGTCATCCCAAAATTTGGTGTGGCATGCTCCTTGATTTGCGGTTTAATAATAATGTAGTCGTATTTTAATCTACAAAAGAAATTTTGACAATGATTCAAATTTATTCATTCATCCCTTGTAGAAAAATGATGATGTCATCTCAAAATTTATTAATTAATGTTTGTTAAAAATGCTTCGAAGTAATTAATATATACTTATTTATTTGGATTTTTTTGTGAAAATCTAGATGCCTATGGAAAAACTCAAGTGGATTAAAAACATTTTTTGTTAGTGTTTTACCATCTACACAATGTTTCTAATACTTATACTGTGAAATGAAGACTCAATTTTATTTTGTCGAGAGTTCAAATCTACGATTGGAAAAAAACTTCAAACTTCCCGATCACTCATTTTATTGGAGGAAAAGTGGATTTTATATTGACAAAGAGTCAAATCTCAACAACGTGGGTCCGCCCACCCACCCGGTTTTCTTCTCTACTACTCATTTTGTTCGACGCAAGGTGGATTTTATATTGATAAATAGTCAAATCTATACAAAAAATGTTAAATTAATCTTACCTAAATTCACTTTTGAACTTCATTGGTGTATTTTATTTACTGTGAGATGAAGGTTGAATTTTATTTTGTCAAGTGTTCGAATCCCCGATTGAAAGAAATTCGACGTGGGCCCGCCCACCCACCCGGTTTCTTCTCGATCACTCATTTTGTTGGATGAAAGGTGGATTTTATATCGATAAATAGTGAAATTTAAAGAAAAAAGCTAAAACTAATCCCACCCACCTCCACTTTTGAATTTCATTGGTTTATTTTATTTACTGTGAGATGAAGACTCAATTTTATTTTGTCAAGTCTTCGAATCTACGATTGAAAAAAACTTCAAAATGGCCCCTCCCACCCACCCGGTTTTCTTCTGGACGAAAAGTGGATTTTATATTGATTAATAGTGAAATCTCAACAAGAAAGGAAAACTAATCCCACCCACCTCCACTTTTGAATTTCATTGGCTTATTTTATTTATTGTGACTGAATTTTATTTTGTCAAGTGTTCGAATCCACGATCGAAAAAAAATCGACAACAATCAGTCCAATAGTTTCAGAGAATTTATCTATTTTTATTTTAGCATATATAGGCGTTATCAAAAAAAGAAGAATCGATTTTCATAATTTATCTGAGAAACTAGACATTTTTTATTCTGCTTCAGGGACGAACGGTACTTCAGTTAAATTAGAGAAAAAATGAACTGTTTCATAGCGACGATATTTTCATGAAAGAACTGAAATTTGACCTTTGAATATTTTATCAAAGGAGCTACAAAAAAAGGCTTTTTACATGTGAATATTTTTTATTATTTAAGAGACACCATTGACCCGGAAATGGCTGACTTCAGACAAGACTTCCACTACTGGTACTAAGAGTAGGTAATTAGTGTTAATATTGTTATCGTTACGATTAATATAATAATTAAAGATAATTTATCAAAAATATTTTTGTTATTTCCTATTTAGATAATAGTATTATTATTAGTAATAATATTACATATTTGATTACTCTGAACAGTTATCGTAGACTAACAATGAATTATAAAAAACATCTGTAAACGTTAAAATGAAGCTAACGCTGTAAGGAATGTAGTGGCCATAAATATCTAAAGAACTTACCATTCAATAAAGAAAATATGGAAGCGTTCTCACGAAAAGTGGGACATACTGTATAAAAAAAATATTAACTGCGTAAATACATAGGTTAATCATCACATTCTTTATCGTTATTCACAAGGCAGAAATATACCATTTTAGGTTACTTTCATGAGTTGTCGATAAAACTAACCTCATAAAATGTTCACTAAAGTAACTACAAGTGAGGTTGTGGAATAACGTAAAATCTTGTCTCTCTAAATAAATTTTATTCAGAAACCTCAACAGCGTTGTTACATGTTTTGCTTACCACAAGCAAGGTTACGACTTTGGCAGTATAAAACGACACTTAAATGTGACTTAAATGGGTGTATATCACTCGAATAACAGGTCCATATAAAATCGTGGTGATTGCTGGATAACTTCCAAAAGGCATGATTATATAAACACACACTAAACTTCTAACAAGGTAATTACAATATATAAACTTCTAAACAATCGTTCGACTAGTGGTGATTCAGTGAAGGCACTTTTTTTTAGACAGACACTCACATTTAAGCCGAAAAACGGTGCTAAAAAACATAAAATAAGGACGCAGGACGGCCTAAGCTTGTAGCTCTACAACAACAACGAAAAAAAAGCTATTCACTTTCTCCATCTTGTTTAATAACGTTATAGTTCGACTTTTTCGTCTTCAGCATTCTCAGAAACGATCCGAGCGCAAAAATGGACCTCCTGTGCCTCTGAAAAATCTCCGAATAAAGAGTCTCTCTGAGCACTTTCCTGTCGATGTCCCTCGTCTTGACGTGCGTGGGGATGGGGGGTACCTTGCAGTCCATTTTACGTCACCCTGTATATTATCACAGATTTTAATAACAACAATGCAAGCTATTAAGGCTTAGGTAATAGAAGACATCTTTCTGTTCTTCACCACTTCGTGCAGCACCTCGTAGTAGGCCCCGAAGAACTCCTCGTACACTTGACCCAGAGCCTCCAGCGCACTCGAGCCCTTCCTCGTGCATCCAGTGGCCCCCGTCAGCCCGATTAGAAGCCTCTCAAAGTCGTCGACTTGTACGGTTTCCCGGATTTTCCTCACCTGCCGCGTCACGACATCTTCGCACAGCGGAACGCACTTCTTCAGCTCGATCGTCTGCTTCTTGTTCTTCTGCTCTTCGACTTCTTCTTCGCTCTTCGCCGAAACGCTGCCCTCGATCTCGATGCGATGCTGCTTCTTGCTCCCTATCACACGCTTGGACTGGCACGAGATCTTCAGCTTCTCACCACACACTGAAAGACTGTTGCTGTTTATGTACAATTTCTCCGAATTTGAGGATGTTGAGGATTTCGTTCTTCTCATCGTTCGTCGCGCCGCGACATTTTTGTTGTTTGTTTTGTAAAGGATTTGTGCGACGGCGGCGGTCGGGGGCGGCGTACGCCAGCGTAGAGAATCAATATTGGTTGGGGTCGTGTGTCTCTTTCTGGTGCGTTCGACGCGAGAGGGGAAATGGAAGAGTATCTTTATTGTGACGGATTCATTATTAAAAAGATGAGACTGGAGAGGGGCGGCGGAGCCGGCGGGGGAGCGACCCGGAGGGGATGATTTTAACGGGGCGATACGATAAGAAAAAAACGCGGTGTGACGATCTGGAAATTATCGTAAAAATGGTGGATGCGCCGGGGGAACGACGCTTATTGGGGTTTTATGTACGCTGTAAGGGTTTCGTTTCAAATCGAATGATCAAACCACGAACTACAAGTTTAAAGGGTATATCACGGAGAATAACGTTAACAAGAGAGCGTGAGTCATTTGAATGCAGAGAAAGCCTAAAACGCACACTGCGTGTTCTAGAAAAGTGGATAATCAGAAAATCATTAAAAAATTACAGCATATACTTAATTAACTATATAGATATACATTGACATCAGTGTATAGTTAGAAATCAAAAAAGTTGGTCCAAAGTTATTTAGACAAAACTTCTCGAACTCCAAAAGTACTAATACAGTTAAATAAATCCGGTTTTCCAAATAATTTATAAAATTTGATTTTTATAAAGATAGATATGGATTGTTATATGCACATGCACTCTAGGTAAAGGAGCATGTTGTACACATGTTTCAGGTCGTCAATTTTTTAGTAGATATAACTATAAGTTTATCAGTTTCGATAGTACATTATAACACAAATAAAAACACTACAGTTTTCTCAAAATTTCAAGAAAACAAGATAAGCGTTTCTTGAGTGGATCAATAACATAATTTGTCTCATTCATTCATCTTTTTTACTTCCCGAGCGTAAGCAAAGGAAGTATTGTAATCGAGTCCGTCGGCCGACTCTCTACTTTTACGTTTTCTCGATCTTTCATGACCCCTAGAAGACGAAGAAATAGGTCTCCCATTTCCGTCTGTCTGTCCGTCTGTCCGTCCGTCTGTCCGTCCGTCTGTCCGTCCGTCTGTCCGTCTGTCCGTCTGCCGTCCCGGATTTTTATTAGACACATAATCTCCGAAAGTACTCGACCGATTGTTGTGAAATTTTGTACTTATATTAAGAATATCATGTAGATGGTAAAACGCTAACCAAAATTTGTCTAATCATCCCCACCACTAATGCGATGACGTCAC